CGCAGCTTGCACCTCAGCTTCCACCCCAGCTTCCACCTCAGCTTGCACCTCAGCTTGCACCTCAGCTTCACCCCAGCTTCCACCTCAGCTTCCACCTCAGCTTGCACCTCAGCTTCACCCCAGTTCCACCTCAGCTTCCACCCCAGCTCCGTCCCAGCTTCCACCCCAGCTTCCACCCCAGCTCCGTCCCAGCTTCCACCCCAGCTTCCACCCCACCACCACCTGTAGGCTCGGGGAATAGTTATTTAATCATCACTCAATGTTCTTTGTAAATCTGTGGAGTGATGAGGCCCGAGTCTAGACGCCAAACTCAAACTATATGCTGCTTCTAATAAACACATTAAGAAACACGTGAGTTGTCTGACTGAACTGGCCCGATGTGAATCCAATAGACCAATCTAAGATCACAATTCATCTTCCAGCCCATCAGCAGGGGGGTATTGGCAAGTGGAGGATCTTTTGTGAATAATACTTTTTTTTAAAACTATACGCGATTAAATTAGCTTGATGTAATTTCTGCATTACAAATATTTTCCGTTTCATTTCACAGTTAAATAATTTAAAGTTAGGTAATCCACTGATGAAAGCTGCCAGTTTGCTCATATCCAACTCTCAAATCACTGAGCCTCTGAGGATCTTTAAAGTGTATTTGATGTTTTATCCCATGCTGCTGGTTGACTTAAATGGCATTCAATGTAAAGGTCAAAGCAGCAGGCAGCCGTAAGCCTGAAACATGCATCCTGTTTCTCATCCAGCAGGAGGCGAATGTCTCACTGCATAGAAGTCTTTGAAGAAATTACCCTACGTCTCGTGGAGGCGTGTGGCGCAGTGGATAGAGTCTTGGTGTTGGGATTAGGGAGCCACAGGTTCAAACCCCACTGCAGTCAGCATGTCGTTGTGTCCCTGAGACTATTCACCCCAAATTTCTCCCGTGGGGATTGCCCACAGTCTTGAGTATGTAACAAGTAACATGTAATGTCTCACTTGGCTTATTACCGCAGTAAAAATATTTCTGTTGCATTTATGGTCTCGATCTTAGTCTATGAGCAAATGTATCACATGAGAATTGCCTGCACACTGTACAGATGTATTTGTGTAAAGTGCGGCAGCCTCAAGTTTATAGGTAGACTTTAGTTACTTTTGTTGAGAATTTGCCATGAAAAAGTAGTAGAAATATCTCTCAAAAATGTTCACGTATGGGAATATTGATTAAAAGAAAAGCTTTTCAAAGCAATCATGTTCTTCAAATAGTGTCTAAGATTGTGTAGGATGATGCAGCAAGAAAGAAAGTGTTTGTCTGCGTGTGTGTAAATAAAAAGAGAGAAGCAAACACACAATATTATGAGAAAGATTTGCATTCAGTTTTTCTATAGTAAGAGTTTAGAGGCTGGACGTTGACACTCTATTTTTGTTTGAGAAGATGAATATTAAAACACAGAGGACAACACAGAGGAAAAAACATAGAAGTTTGTCCTCGATTCAGCTCTGTCGCATTTGGAAATACCTGAGGGATCTCCTAATGAAGGGGAACTTCAGAGGCTATACTCTTCTGGGATCACACACACTCCCTCTGGAGAGTTTCCCCCACAGCTTTCTGAATGCCTTCCAACAGCATGAACTAATTGTGTGTTGTAAACATTTCCATTTAAAAGATCTTTGAGTTACTCTGAGCGGGACACAGCAACATCTGCACCCAAACTAACCCACCTGGAGCCGTTTCATGGAATTACATGAATGATTAAGCCTCGCATAGATATAACTTTTCATCATCATAAATGTGTGCTGGCAGGGCACACACAAGATGTTTGCCCAAAATGCAGTGTTGTAGTCAAGTCACCAATTCACGAGTCCAGGTCACTCTCGAGTCCCCACTTTTCGAGTCCAAGTCTGAGTCACCAAGGGAGAGTCGGAGTCGAGTCCGAGTCCAAGTCCAAGTCCGAGTCCAAGTCTGAGTCACCCAAGAAGTGTCCGAGTCGAGTCCGAGTCATCATTACCTGTGTTCAAGTCCGAGTCCAAGTCCGAGTCACCCAAGGAGTGTCCGAGTCCGAGTCACCAAGGGAGAGTCCGAGTCGAGTCCGAGTCCAAGTCCAAGTCAGAGTCCAAGTCCAAGTCACCCAAGGAGTGTCCGAGTCGAGTCCGAGTCACCAAGGGAGAGTCAGAGTCGAGTCCAAGTCCGAGTCCAAGTCAGAGTCCGAGTCCGAGTCCAAGTCCAAGTCAGAGTCCAAGTCAGAGTCCAAGTCCAAGTCACCCAAGGAGTGTCCGAGTCGAGTCAGAGTCATCGTGCGCGAGAAAATTCATGAGTCCGAGTCGAGTCCGCGTCAATCAGTGCGCGAGTCCGAGTCGAGTTGCGAGTCCCGAGAATCGGCACTCGAGTACTCCATCTCTGCCAAAATGTAGATGTTTTGTCATCATGATTAGGTTAGAAA